TTTCTGAATTTTTTTTTGAGGGGCGAGGGGGTGCAAATCTGCAGCCCAGCCCCCCCCCACCTCCTTCCCCCTGCCCGTCCCGTCCCGTCCCCCTTGCCCAGGGGCCTCTGCAGTCTTGCAAATCGTAGTTCAAAATCGAACGGTAGGAAGCAGGCACAGGTGGAGGGGATTACGGGCGGGCAGGCAGGGGAACTCGTTAGAAAGAAACCACGCGTGTCCGCGGCCGGAAGCGGGTGGATCCTGCGCCAGGCTGCTCGTGGGCGCAGCGCGCCTCACTTGCACCCCACAACCCCGGGCCTCCCCATCACCCCCCCCCCGCGCCCGGGGGGCTCCCCCGGCGCCTGCCTACCTTCCAGGTAGAAGGCCCGGCAGCCCTCGTCCTTGAGCTTCTTGAGCAGCAACCCAAGCACGGACTCGCCGCCGGTGTTCTCGTTCCAGTCGCTGCTGCTCTCGTCGTAGAGCACGACCGTGTCGGTGCCGCAGCGCCGCGTGAAGCGGTCGCGGTCCTCGCCGCGCGTGAAGAGCGCGCGCACGGGCAGGTTGCCCTTCTGCAGGCGCCGCAGCATGATGCCCGGGATGGCCACGTTGATGGCCGACTCGATGTGCGACGACTCGTACAGCTCCTGCGGCCGGCAGTCCATCAGCAGCAGCCGCTCGTTGCCCAGCTCCAGCTGCTCGTTGAGCCACGCCACGGTCTTGCTGATCGCCATTTCCGACGCGAAGGGCACGGGTCTGAGCGTATCTATCATGGGGGTCGAGCTGCCGGGGAGGGCGGGTGCCTACCAGACGGCCCTCGGGGCAGGCATAGGCCGGGCGCGCCGCGCGGAGCCGCCGCTCGCGGAGCAGCGGGGCGCTACCTCCAGCTGGCCCTCCCCGCACCGGGGGCAGCGGCCGGGGAACGCGGGGCACGCGGGGCCGGCGGCTCCCTCCGCACCCAGCTGCAGCCGCTCGCTCTCGGGGTCAATGAATCTCTTTGAATGAAGCTGCCCAGACAGTTTTGTTCCTCCCCAGTGAATGAAATCCAATTAATTCGGACTCCCTGCTACTAAGAGGGGAGGGAAGGGAAGGAAAAAAAAAAAAGAAGAAAGAAAGAAAGTCCAGCGGCTCCTAATCCCTCCCTTCAAGGCTGCACCTCAAATCCGCCCGGGCGTCTCTCTCCTCGAATTATTCAAACCTCGATTTGCTCACTCGCCCCTGGACTCAGCCCTCGCACACCCCCTGCGCGAGGCAGCTCCTCAATGGATACAAACAGCGAGCGTCTCAATGGATACATTCTCCCGGCCAGCCAATGAGCGCGCTGCGGAAGGGGCTGTTGCCGTGGGGACGGGCCGGCTGGAACAGGTTGTGTTGATGAATTGTTAATGAGTTTGTCATTCACAAAAACGGAAAGGAATTTCCGCTCCGGATAAGCCCCAGTGCAAACAAGCTGCAACAGCGGGCTCGGCGGGAGGAAGGAGAGAGAGGAGGAGGCGGCGGCGGAGGAGGAGCAGGGCACAGAAACCGGGGCACTCCGGTTGTCTCATGTTTCCTTCTGTTGAGAGTTCACACTTCGCGTCGGAACTTTTGCGCACAAACGGTGCAATTAGCAGGCACAAAAGCCCTTGTTCGTGACGCCTGGGCTCGCAAGGCTAGCTTTAAGAAAACTTGTGCTTTCCCCCCCTCCCTCCTTTTTTTTTTTTTTTTTAATTCCCTTTAAGCTCATTTGGACCGGAGTTCGCCTGGACCCCCCCCCTCCCCCCTCTCGGCGGTGTGTGGCATTTGTTTGCCCGTTTAAAAAGCCCAGCTCTGTTTGCTCTGATGTTCTTTTAGCCGAGGCCGTGTTGGGGCTGGTGAACTGCCTGGGCTTTAGTGACCGGTGAGGTGTTAAATGCTAATCCAACATCTTTTCGAAACAGACTAGGATTTTTGTCGACACTTTTTAAGGCAAGCAAACAAACAAATGCCTGCCTGTCCAGAGGATAGGGAGAAAGGGTTTTGTCTTAAGTTGCATTTAAATTAACTTTATTTTGCTTTTAAACAGTGGAGCCTGCAGAAACAAACCGGTTGGCCAGTCCGATGTTTTTATTCCTCTCCAGTGGCCTGGGGCGCTATGAGCCATCACTGTTCCGGGGATCCAAGCCCCCCCCCCGCCCCCTCCCGCCGCCTTCCCGCGGTCACCCACCGCGCGCTGGGGAGCTGCGCTCGTTAATCATTTCTGGGCAGCAAGCTCGGCTTCCGACAGAGGAGCCGGGCTGGCGGGGCTGCCTGGGCTCGGTGCATGTAGGGCACGCGGGCTCCCCGCAAGGCCGGGGGGGGGGCCGTCGGAGGGGAACCTTCCGTCCCACCCGGGCGCTCCCCCCACCCCCGCCCCGGGGCGCCGGGCACTTTGCGCAGCACCGGACGCGCCTGCGCACTGCGCTCCCGCCCAGCACCCCGCCCCCCCACCCCCACCCCAGGGTTCGCGGCGCTGGGCGGCCCTGCGGAGGGGTCCGGGGTCCGGGGTCCGGTCACGGCCTGGGGTGGGCGAGGGGCGAGGCGGGGCGCCTGCCGAGACCTCCCCCCGGTCCCCCGGGCTCGCAAGGAGGGCTGGGCGCCGCGGGGAGCAGCAGGTACCCGGGAAGCGCCGGGCTGGCCGGGCACCGGATGGAGGCGGGGCGGGCCGGGGCCGCGGCGGCGGGGTGGGGGGGCGCATTCCCGGCGCGCGGGGCCCGGTTGTTAGAGGAAAGCGCCGGGCCGGCCCCTCCCGAGCGGAAAGCCACCTGCGTGCGGCGGGCGCGGCGTCCCTAACCCGGCCTCCCCTCCCTACCCCCCGGCGGAAGACGGGGCGCCCCGGGTCCCGCCGCCGCCGCCGCCGCCGCCCGGGAGGCGGGGAGCATCCTCCCCCGGCGCCCCTCCCCGCCCCCACAGCGGGTCGAGCGCGGGGCACCCGAGGTCGCGGGGTCTCCCCCAGCCAGACGCCCCGCGCCCACGGGGCCTGCCTGCGGACGCCCCGGCTCCGATTTGCATTCTTAGTCACCCGCCTCTTCCCTGGTTTGGGGGAGCGCAGGCTAAAAAAAGGCGGCTGCGAGGCCCGGGCTGCCAATTTTGGAGCCGCGCTGCGCTGCGCTGCGAGCGGGCCGCCCCGGAGGAGCGTGTGTGACGACGGGGGGTGGGGGGGGCTGCCGCGCGCTCTCCCTTTTTTGGGCATCCCTTGGAACAAAACTCCCGTATTTTCACTGGATGTCTCTAGTTCCAACTGGAGGAGGTCTGCGCCGGAGTTGACGCCTCCGATCCGCCCCCACCTGTTACAGGCCTTCGCGCCCCGGGACGTTTGGGGCGCTGGGACCTGGGGGCGCGGCAGGGCGCCCAGCTGCGGACCCGCGAACCACACAGGCCTCGGCCCGGGGCCTCCAGCGGAAGAGACTGGGGAATCCGCGGTTACTTCGCTGCTTAAAAAGCGCCCTTACCCGGGTGGCTCAGCGGTTGAGCGCCTGCCTTGGGCCCAGGGCGTGATCCCGGGGTGCTGGGATCCAGCCCCACATGGGGATCCCCGCAAGGAGCCTGCTTCTCCCTCTGCCTGTGTCTCTGCCTCTGTCCCATGAATGAATAAATAAAACCTTTTTTTTTTTTTCAAGTTCCCTCACCTGAACCTGGCAGTAGATTAGGGAGGATAATTGCAACGCTCCTCAAACCTGAAGGTGGATCTGAACCCTACGGCAACGGAATGTCGGTGCTTCTCAGCACATTTTATAAAATGGCCTTCTGACCACCGGGTTCTAAGAAGGGCAGCATAAGGGGCCCCTGGAGTGGGGCGGCCAGGGTTGAAATTGGGCCCCCGTCACTTCCTAGAATGTGGATGGACCCTTGGTTAAATCTGTTGTGAACTGCGTCTTCCACGTGGCATAATGAAGATGATAAAAATATTTGCTTTATAGCATCTCTGTGGTGGTTGAATGGGTGAAATGCCCTAGCATGATGTTGATGTGCTTTCAGCTATTGGATGTTTTTATCCTTCTGGATTCCCAACCTGCAGTGTTCTGAGTCCATATCTAGATGCCCTTGGAGGGCCTGCCTAACCGCCCTCCCAGAACTCCCTAGTCCACAGAGAAGCCCTCTGAGGGACTGCCCTAGGTCGTTTAATCCGTCCCAATTCAGCTGTGGAGCAAAGTAGGTGCCTTACAGACCAGGGTCCAAATCCTTTAACATGGTTAACACAATGTACCCAGCTCCCTAACTTCTCCCTAACTGATCCGCTTTTAAAACACCCTGTTTCCCCACCACACCAAATTGATAGAGTAGAAATGATATGTAAATTGGGCATTTACTGCTTGAAAGGCTGGGTCTTGATTTCAGTCTTTACTTGCATAATTTTGGCCAGTCTTCAGAAAACCCATGTAAATCATCCCCATTCACAAAGATTAAGGAATTTGTATGAAGTCATACAGTAACGAACAATGGGGTCAGGATTTGAGGCCAGACCCTGTACAGACCAGTAAGGTTGACCACATACACATCTCACAGCTTATCCTGGAGACTGCGCACTGAACAGTGCCATTGCAAAATTTGAAGGATTCGGTTCTACATTTTGAATTTTGACCAGTAGGCTTTTCCAGCTTCACATACTCTCTGTCGCACCTTCCCCATAAATGTCAAAGATCAAAAGTTAGACTCCTAACCCCCGCTCCTTTTACATTGGGGTTTCTCTGCATGCACTTCTTCATTAGTCAGCCATTCGCTAAATACTTCATATTTTTCTTCCTTGGAGTTTGTCTTAGACTCAAATCCTAACAACTGCCATTACTAATCGAGTATGTCGGCTCGGCACATGGGCCTGGGTTCCGACCTTAGCTCTGCCACTCACTAAGCTAAGGGGAAAATCACTTAGCTTCTCTGGGCCTCCATTCATTCATTCATTCATTCACTTATTTATTCTGGGCTCCCGGAAATCAGTAGGGAATAAAAGAGGCAATATCAGCACCACCCTCAAAGCTTACTCTAGTGAAGACAGACAATAATCAGAATAATTATACAATATATTAGGAAGTAAAAGTACTGTAGGGAAAAACAAAGCAAAGAAGGGTGTTCAGCAGTATGTAAAATTAGGAAATATTATATCTTCATCACAGGACAAGGAGGATTAGAGACATACAAAAAGTGTAGGGCACAAAATGAGTATTCGAAAGATGATGTTTTTAAAACTCAACTGGCTCGGTTCTGCAGAAAGCTGACACCCTGTTGCTGGTGATCTTGCCTTGAACCTCATCATCCTGGCCCAGGTTCTTAGGAAAAAGAGCTCAGAAAAGTTCAGCTCCCTGCTGAGGGTATCATTCGTACCAAGAGAACCGTGTTTCCAGACCGGGGAGCAAAGCCGGTCATCTCTTACTCCTCGTAAGTGCACAGAAGCGATGTTACACATCCTAACTTCTCTGTGTGTATGTATTTGTGCGCATGCACCAAGCACCCATGCTTGAATTCTTGCATCAGGTGGGTCCCCTTGGAAAGCTCCCTAAAAGTAAGTCTTTTGCTCACGAATGTTGGTTGCCTGCTGGAGAAGCATTCCAACTCTGCAGAAATTTTCCTGTGTTTGAGGACACTCGTGGTTTACTAGACCCAAAAGCGTTAGCATGCCCTTTAATCTTCTTGGCGTAATCTCTGTGAATACAATAACATCGATTAACACACCATGTGAAAGTAGTTAAACGGTTTTCTGTTAGTAAGGAGAGAGCGTTTTTGGAAGTTCTGACTCCAAATGTAGTCTTGTGACATATTCACTACTCACTTTTAGAAGTCCCAAGGAGCCTTCGCGACCTGACAGCTAGTGGCTTTCTGAGCAGCTAAATCTCACAACAGAATTTCACTGCGGTTGAGAAACATGCTTGACAGAGTCTGGCTTTAAGGGGCATATGGGGTTCACAAAACTCAAGCTGAGCTCTCCTGGCAGGTGCCTCAAAAAGACAGCAAGTTATGTCTGAACAGCAGGAGATGTGGAACCCAAGAGGCCCAAAGGACTGACAAAAGGAAACACGTTCTGCACATTTTAGGCTGTATGTACATAGGGAAAACCAAAGGGAGTTGCAAATATGAGCCCCAAGTGAAAATACCATGACTGCTGAGCCCGGTTTGCAGTCAAGCAGCTTGCCCCTGGGTGAGGCGCTGCAGGGTCGTAGGAAGCACAGGCTAAGGATTTTCCCAAACAGTGTGTGGGGCCGGGGAGAGGCGGCTGGTGAGACAGCAACTGACAGGTAGCTAGACGGCAGCAGTGCCGGAATCACACGTCCACAGTCCCATCTGGGGAGTGGCCGGAGCTTTCCGACAAACCAGATGGCACTTTTACACCTTGCCGGGATGATCGGACCCGAAGAAAAATAGAAACTATTGTGGAATTCAGACCTAGGCCCCGAGCAGGCTAAGCTGTTCAAAAAAATTACAATCTTCATCAACTTCCCTGCGTTTTTGTTTCCCCATCACCCAATGGATTGCAGGTCGGTTTATATTCCGGGGCCCATGGAGACGTAATCTAGAATATTCTGTTGAAGCTGGACAATCTCGCAAAGAAGTACATTTAAAGGTACTAATGTTGATTTCTTCTTTCAGATGCTTTTGTCGCCGTCTTTCCAGTGATTCAACTGATTCTTCCTTCATATCTTTTATTTTCAAAAAGAAATCTAAAAGTGTCTATCATAAATGTCTATGTAAGAAGTCGTCACTGAGGCTTTGTTACGTCATTGTTGTTTGGAAAAGGAACAATGACCCCTTGCTTCCCGTTGTATTAGTTCCGAAGCCTAGCAATACCTGGAGCGGGAAATTAAGCTTAACGTTGCCTTCCAGGGGGCAGGGAACTACGATGCAGCCGTCTTTCCAGAAGCTCCCCCGTCATGTCTTGAAGCATCATGGAAGCTTCTTGGGCATTAGCCATGCTTCATCTACACGCAGAATAGTTGCCTTGTGCCTGTGTGGGCCGTGGTTCCTCTGGTGACTTTTCTCCTCATCTTGTGTTCCTTTATTTACGCAGGTGTGAGCAATACAAATAGCTGTTGTGTAAGAGAAGGAATTATTTCTCTAAGTAGGCACTATTTCCTGTCAGCCCTTTCTGCCTCAGCGATCAGTGAAAATGGCTGTGTGTGTCCCCAATACAAGGCCGGCTTTAGCTTAGTTTATCGAATTTAAGGACTCTCAGATCCTCCAGACTATATTGAGGGAACCCCAGGGGCCTCCAAACTCCAGTCTAAGCAGTAGGGCTATAGGCCACTTGGTGGGTTAATTACAAAAGTTGTATTTGAATGTATCCTTGGAAGAGGAGGAGGAGGAGGAAGAGGAGAAGGAGGAGGAGGAGGAGGAGGAGGAGGAGGAGGAGGAGAGATAAAAAGACACAAACCATAATGGCTACAATTTATTCCACCTCAAGCTTTGAATATATCAGATCTAACTACTACCATGATAACCCTGCCAAGCAGATACACAATTACCATGGTTTCATAGTGGGGAAGGCTGGACTCACATATCAGGTAATTACACTGGAGTCCAAACTCGCATCTCCTTGAAAGCCTCTCGAGTATGTTTTGCTCCCCTGATAGATAGGATTAGCCCTAAAGCATGACCCCATGCAGCCTGTTAAGAATTCAACCAATTTAAGAAAAAAAAAATTCAACCTGTTATAAAATGGCAGCTTCTACATGACTTGTTAAATTTTATTTTGCTGGTCAAGACCGAGAGTTCTGGAGTCAGACCAACCTGGATTCTAATCCTGGCTCGCCAGTTATCTAATTGTGTGATCCTGGGGGAAATCACATAATCCCCCTATGCCTCAGTGTCCTCATCTGTCAAATGGGAACACTATATTACAGGCCTAGGGTAGTACATGACTTCCATTTGGAAAGGGGTAGGAAGGGTCCTGAAACAGTACTAATTCATTGGCAGTTACCTGTTTTTAGTATGAACACACACATATACACGCAGTTCTTAATGGAGGTTGATTGAAATGGCTGAAAGGGGGTCATGTAGCAAAAAACACTACACTGTCAGTTTGTTCTCAGGAATAGAAAAACTAGCCATACAAGATCTTGAAAAATGACATTTTGAGAAGAGTCAGTTGCTTTACCATCCCCTTAGCTAGTGATGTAAAGAGCCCAGAAATTGCAGTTTCTCGGTGTATTGAGACGTGGATGTCTCCCACCCCACCCCCCATCACTGCCAGCTCAGGCCAGTCCTGTCTTCTTCTTCTTCTTCTTTTCTTTTCTTTTCTTTCTTTTCTTTTTCTTTTCTTTTCTTTTCTTTTCTTTTCTTTTCTTTGTTAAGATTTTATTTATTTAGAGTTAGAGCAGAGGAGGAGCAGAGGGAGAGGGACAAGCAGACTCTGCACTGAGCATGTAGCCCAATGAAGGGCTCCATCCCACAACCCTGAGATCATGACCAGAGTCAAAATCAAGAGTCCCGGGCCTAAGTGACAGAGCCACCCAGGCGCCCTGCAGGCTCGCCCTGTTAGCTTCATGTCCTGCAAGAGGGGGATTGGGAGTTTACCTGCCCCAACGATGTAACCACCATCTCTCCATGATCTGGCTTCTCTGTCTCCGAACCTGTTTCTCTACTGCGTCCCCAAGCTTTTAAGACCTCCTTGCATCTAAGAAACCTCACCTTGGGGCGCCTGGGTATCTCAGGCGGTCAAGCGTCTGACTTAGGCTCACATCATGATCTCAGGGTCCTGGGATCGAGCCCTGCATCCTTGGGCTCCACATTCAGTGGACAGTCTGCTTCTCCCTCTCCCTCTTCCCCTCTCTCTGCCCCTCCCCCTGCTGCTGCTGCTCTCTCTCTTTGTCTCTCTCTCTGTCAAAAAAATAAAATCTTTTAAAAATAAAAAGAAAGAAAGAAAGAAAAGAAAGAAAGAAAGAAAGAAAGAAAGAAAGAAAGAAAGAAAGAAACTTCATCTTCTGGTAGGATCTAAAAAAAAATATTTCTATTACTGAAATTGGTGGTTGTCAGAGGAAGTATGCTAGGACCCTCGATCTTGCAGCCCACTTCCATGTGTAACCAAGCAGCCTCCAGCCCTGGACCCTGCAAACCCCACCCCCCCTCATTTCACCTAGGTTCCTGCCCCCATGAGATTATAAACTCTGCTGATTTTGATTTGGGAACATTGCTGCCTTTCCTTTAGGACGACCCTCTCATGCAAGGTACTGGTAGTCAAAGCACCGAGGGTAGAGAGAAAAACCTTTCCCCAGCCACACACAGTTTGCATGAGCTGTCCTTAGCTGCTGAAATGCAATTTTTTACTTGTTAAACTTGGTATGAGATTTATTTCTATAGTGAGAGTGAGGTTGAGTGCAGTGAGGAGTGTGACGTAAACAGGAGCCCTAACCACTAGAGACCTGTGATTTTTATCAAAGGAATCTGACATTTATTCTATCACCAAACTGGTTCAGAAGCAAAGGGTCCGAAAGACATAATGCCCAAATCCTGTCTTTCATAATTCTGATTTAAATGATGTAAGGGGATGGGGAGTCCCAGGTATGGGTAGGGCTCAAAAATCCCTCAGGGAATTCTCATATGCAACCTGAGCTGAAAACCAGCATCTGGCTTACACGGATCTACAGCACCTGTTCCCCATCAATCCGCTTGCCTAGGGGGAGGTTTCCAGCCAGACCAGAGGGTCTCGAATGTTGAGGAACACCTTGGAGGTACTTGCTCGCTGTTCACAGGCCTCGCAGGCCTCTAACTCGAGGACCCTGATTCAGAATGTCTGGAGAGAGGTCCCAGGCAACTCTCTTATAATCCAGCAGCCAAGAATGGCTCATACAGGTGGGCAGACTTTGGAAAGCTCCGAATGATATCCCAGACAGCCAGGTTGCTCACCTGTCAGATCTAGGCAAGAAGTATAGAAATGTTTTGGACGGTTACCTCTACGCACAAACGTCAGAACTGCGTAACAGAAGAATACAATGTTAAACATAACTAACCTGCTTGCCCTTGAGAGCTCGATTCTTGAATTGGCACGCACCCTGGTTTCTTTGCACAAGGCCTGCAACTGTACCCAGAACCGCCTGTGGATTGACCTGATAAGAATGTTTCTCTTGAAAACAGCATCAAGTTCTTGAGCACCCACCGTGTGTCTGGAACTGAAATGATTGCTGGGGACACGTGGAGATCAGAGTTAGACCCTGGTGTCACAAAAAGTTAAGTCTGAGTGGTTGGGTTAGACTCATGTCCAGGTAGCTAGAATGCAGTGATAAATAGGGTCATTGCAGCAGAAGGGAAGTACTATGTATGGAGAGGGAAGCAAAAGGAGCACATGGCTCATGGGCCTTGGATGTTACGAAGTGTCCCAGAGAAGACAGTATCTGAGTTAGATCCCCATGGATAAGCCGATTCCCCCCGCCCCCCACCCCCAGAAGGGGCAGGAGAAGAAAGGCACTCTAAGCTGGAGAGACAGGTGGCATGAGCAAAGGCTTGGAGCCATGGACGTGCATGACAACTTCATGGAGGGCACAGAGCAGCAAACACATAAGAAACTTCGTTTCAAGCCAGATGGTAATGGACTTCGGATGCTAAGGCTAAGGAGTTTGGCATTTTTCATTAGGCAGCGAGAAGTCATCAAAGATATTTATACAAGGGTGTGACATGATTTCAGCGTATGATTCTGATAACAAAGAAGTGAGTAGATTGCAGGGGAGAGAAAAACCAGATGCAGGAAAGCCAATTACAAAGCAGTTGCAATTGTCCAGGAAAATGATGCTATAGCCCACAGGCGTCCTGTTCCTAAAATAACGTACTCACCATCCTGCTTCATTTTATTTCCCTTATTTCTGGGGCTAGAAAAATCACTTAGCCCTTCTGTGACTCAGAACCCCTCCCTATTAATAGAGGATGACAAAATACTTACCTTCCCTCACATTGGGAGGTATGTGAGATGCTTATAATTGTAGCCAGGAAAGAGGGGGCAATGTTATTCTAAATGCCACTGCTATAATTCCGCTCCCGGAGAGGAACTGCCTTTTGCCTCTTACTTTTTGTTATAAAAATTCCAGCCTCCCAGGCGCCTGGGTGGCTCAATTGGTTAAATGTCTGACACTTGATCTCAGCTCAGGTCTTGATATCAGAGTTGTGAGTGTAAGCCCTGTGGTGAAGCCTACTTAAAAAAAAAAATTCCAGCCTCCCAGTAAAGCTGAAGGCCGATGAAAGCATCAGAAGCGCTCCCTGGAGGGAGGAGGCTGCAGCAGTTAGTTTCAGGGGCTCACAGCCCGGAAGTGGTATTTCTGATAAAAGGGGCCCTTACCTTTAGGATGAAAATGCCACTGCAACCTGTTTGGCTGCAGAAGTGACATTTTGTAAAGAGAGCCTGTCACCTCGTCGTTTTTCATTACAAACAAAAGTGTAAGGACTGCTGCTCCTATCGTGCGTGTTGTGGCAGTGGGGGTGGGGAGCATCCGATGTTCAGGGATGGGGTGACACAGGGCCGTTCAACTGGAATGCTGGGCATGAGGCTTTCAGGTTGTGCTCACCTTCTGGGTCTCGGAGTCTGTCCTCAAAGCAAAGAGCACCTGGCCATGCCCTTTCCACCTGCTGCCCGGCCCTTTCCCACAACCAGATCTCCAATTCACCACCCTGGACTGCACCAGAACTCTCTCCTCTCTTTGGAAAAGTATCATGGGTATCTATCACAGAAAGCACTAGTGAGAAAATGCTTGAAATTTTGCCAAAATCACTTTGTCGTCTACCTTTTTAAAAAATATATATTTTATTTATTTATTCATGAGAGACACAGAGAGAGAGGCAGAGACAAAGGGAGAAGCAGGCTCTCTGTGAGGAACCTGATGCGGGACTCGATCCCAGGACCCCGGGATCATGACCTGAGTCGAAGGCAGATACTCAACCACTGAGCCACCCAGGCGCCCCTGTCTTCTACCTTTTAAAAAGTCCATGCTCGGGCTACCTGCTGAGTTGGTGCAAGATATTCTGAAGGATAGGAAGATAAATCACACCGAGACACTCCCTTCCAAGAGCTAACAGGTGGGATTGTGACATAAGAGAGAATATTACAAAGATAGCATCCGGCATGCTATTAGGACAATTCAAAGTTCCAGATCCAAAAGGCTGGTCATGTTGGGTGACTGACGTGATAGTCCATCCATCCAGAGTCCTTCCCTTTATATATGACAACCAAGTGGTTGCAGAGTGATACAGCAAGGAGACATGTCAGGAACACATAAAGAGAAGATAATAAATGCTTCTTTCTCAGGTATGTTCACCTGAGTTCTCTTTAATGAAATACTTGCTCTGGTACAATAAATTATTCTAATTCATTGGTTCTCTCCTAATATACACTTCTTGGAAAACTTACTGGTAAACTTTGTACCAAAGCAATTGAGAGATTACAAATCACAGAAGAAGAATTATTTTTAATCCCTATACAAATAGATCATATTCTAAGGGCAGTTAAAAATATCACAATATCACAGTCTGCCTTTACACCTACTCGTCCATTACTCGTTAGATTCCTTTACTACAAAGGGCTCCAGGAAAAAACTAGAAACATAGCTGTGCTGACAACAAAGAGTCAGTTATAAAGGGAAAGTAGAAAAGATTTACCCATTTGTTAATAATGTAGCCATGTGCTAATTTAATTTCTGCTTCAGACAGAAATTAAATTAGCAAGGTGACATTCACTTCTGGAAAAAAAAACAGAAATTAAGGAAGGAAAAGAATTTAAAAAAAATAAAGAAAGGAAGGAAGGAAGGAAGGAATGTGCAAGCCACAGACTGGGAGAAAATATTTGCAAAAGACACATCTCAGAAAGGACTGTTACCTAACTTGAAACTCAGCAGTAAGAAAATGAACAACCTGATTAAAAAATGGGCTAAAGACCTTAATGGACACCTTCCAAAGAAGATATACAGATGGCATATGAAGAGATTCTTCACATCCAATGTCAGCAGGGAAAAGCAGATTGAATCAACAACGAGATGCCACTGCACACCTATTAGAAGGGCCAACACCCAGAACGCTGGCATCACCAGAAGCTGGTGAGGATGTGGAGCAACACAAACTCTCCTATGTTGCTAGTAGGAATGCAAAATGGTGCGATCACTCCAGAAGACAGTTTGGCAAATTCCTAACAAAATTAAACATACCCGTATCATATGATCCAGCAGTCACGCTCCTCAGTCTTCACCCAAAAAGTTGAAGACATGTTCACACAAAACTTTGCACACGGATGTTTGTAGTGGCTTTATTCAAAATTGCCAAATCTTTAGAAGCAACCAAGACGTCCTTGGGTCGGTGAATGGATAAATAAACTGTGATTCATCCAATGGAATCTTATTCAGCACCAAAAAGAAATGAGCTATCAAGCTATGAGAGGCCATGGAAGAAACTTATATGCATATTGCTAAGTGAAATAAGCCAACCTTAAAAAGCTACATACTCCGGGAGTCCAACTATAGGACACTCTTGAAAAGCAAAACTATGGAGATAATAAAATAAAATAAAATAAAATAAAATAAAATAAAATAAAATAAAATAAAAAATCAAGTGACTGCCCATGGTTATGGGAGGGGGTGATGAATTGGTGGAACACAGGATTTTTTAATCAGTGAAACTATTCTATGTGATACTGTAATGGTGAATATGTCTCATTATACATTTGTCAAAATCCACAGAAAAGTACGCCATCAAGAGTGAACCGTTATGTAAACTGCAGACTGTGGGTGATAATGATGCGTTGATATAAGCTCATCAATTATGGTAACAATGATGTGTCTATGTAAGCTCATCAATTATGATAAGTTATGTTGATATAAGCTCATCAACACCATGCTGGTGCTGGATGTGGATAATGGGGCAGGCTGTGCATGAGTGGGGATGGGAAATATAAAAAAAAAAATCTCTGGACTTCCTGGTCAGTTTTGATATAAACCTAAAGCTGTTCTAAAAAACAAAGTCTACTTAAAAACAACAACAACAACAACGTGTATGCTCCTGTCAGCAGATTTGGAACTACAGGGACCAGTTCTCCCTGCATTAGATGAGAGCCCCCTCTCGAATGTCTCCATGTGTTACAGAGTGTTTTCTTCTCTTGAAAAGAGAAGAAAGCATTAGTGAGTTCAATACGGACAGGTGATACGTGTGCGTGGAGTAAAATTCCAAAGGGAAGAAGTGATATACTGTAGAGGTCGGCCCTCCCAGCTATCTAGCTCTTCTCTCTAGAGCCAACCACTGTTAACTAGTTTCTGGGTACCTGCCCAGAGTCTGCACCTGTATACGCGTACACATTTAGTATTATTGATGTTCTCATCACAGAACTGTGGCAGCCTAAACACACAGGGGTGCAGTTTGATTTTTCACCGAACACATTTTGGAGATGGGTTCATATCAGGAAACATAGAGCTTCCTCATTCTTGTTTTTTTTTCCTTGTTCTTGTTAATGGCTACGTAGTATTCCATCACGTGGGCACGCATGGCCTAATCTTCCCATCAACAGATATTGAAGTTGTGCAGGATCTTTTTTGCTACTGCAAGCAGTGACTGCACTGAATACAGTCTTGTACACATTTATCCCCTTTCTATGTGAGTATATCTGCAGGATACATTCTTTTTTTAAAAAATTTTTTACGATAGTCACACAGAGAGAGAGAGAGAGAGAGAGATGCAGAGACACAGGCAGAGGGAGAAGCAGGCTCCATGCACCGGGAGCCCGACGTGGGATTCGATCCCGGGTCTCCAGGATCGCGCCCTGGGCCAAAGGCAGGCGCTAAACCGCTGCGCCACCCAAGGATCCCTGCAGGATAGGATACATTCTTAAAAGTGCAATTGCTTGGTCAGAGTATATGAGTTTATAATGTTGCTAGCTCTCACCCAGACCCCCCAGTCAGAGATTGTATGAGTTTGCATTCCCACCAGTGATATTTTTCCTCCATAGCTTACTGACACAGCGTGCTTTCAGATATCTTGCCAATCTGATAGATGAATATCAATATCTCGTGGTAACTTTTTTTTTAAGATTTTATTTATTTATTTGAAAGAGTGCTCAGAGTGGGTGCAGGCAAGAGAGAGATAGCATGAGCGGGGTGCAGGGGGAAGGGAGCAGGGTCAGTGGGTGAGGGAGCTGGATGCGGAGCTCGATCTCAAGACCCCAGGATCGTGACCTGAGCCAAAGGTAGACGTCTAACAGACTGAGCCACCCAGGCGCCCCTCCCGTGGTGACTTTACTGTGCATTTCTCTTATTAAGAAGAGTCAGGAAGAGCATCTTTTTGTGTATTTAAAAGCTGTACGATTGCCTTTCCTGTGAACCATCTATTCACATTCTTTTTTTTTAAGATTTTATTTATTTATTAATGAGAGATAGAGAAGAGAGGCAGAGACACAGGCAGAGGGAGAAGCAGGCTCCATGCAGGGAGCACAATGCAGGACTTGATTCAGTCTCCAGGATCACACCCCAAGCCGAAGGCAGTACTAAACCGCTGAGCTGCCCTCTATTCACATTCCTTACCCATCTTTGATTGCCAAAAAAAAAAAAAAAAAAAAAAAAATCAGTAAAATAAAAATCCTATCTTATTTTTGACATCTTACTTTTGACCAAAATATTACGTTCATTGTAGCCACTGAACTTAAATACCATTAATCAATCATTACTTTCGAACAGAAAACACCAAGAGACACTTGATAACTCCCAAAGCACATTCTCATCCAAAACTCACTGCTGCCTGACTTTTCCTTCTCAACTCATTCTAAATCTCCTGTCCTAATTAAAACTGCTCTCACTCCTTAGAATTGCTCAGGGTTAAAGAGCCCTGGTTTTTGTTTTGTTTTAATCCCAGAAGGGTTGTTTGTCTTAAGCTCTGCCTCAGCCATTATTATCTATGCAAACCTTCTGAGGAATTTTAGCTCATTAAGATAACATCCCTAACCTCCTCGCCAAGCATTCACAGGACCTGCCTTCTGCCCAAGCGGAAAGGGAAGGGTGATGGCACCAAGCATCTACAAGCTTTTATCGTCATCCCCCAGTTCCCTCCATGAGAGGAGATGAGCTGACCCATTAAACAGAGAAGTGGAAAAGTCCCTCGACTTCTCTTTCTCAGGCTGGGGAAGACTTGTGACACCAAAGGGTCTTGTTGACGCTCCCCAACCATCACATTGCTCTGGGCAGCTGATGCTCTTTAGCTGCTGATTACAAGATACATATTTTACATGATGTCCTGAATCAAAAGGATTTTGAATATTACTCTGAACTGACTCTATCACAAGTACGTATCAAGGAATTTGCTGTAAGTGAAATGGGAGGTAAGGACATAATGAAGGTATAAGATACCATCGGGGATAATAAGATGGAGATCAGGAAGTAGGTTTGTAAATAGCAGGGTGGATATATGGGAAAAGCCACTGTCTGTTGTCCTGGTTCTCCACCCCACGCTGGGCAGAAGCAGTCGATCTGAGAAAAGAGCGACTATATCATATCCAATCCTACAATCCTATTGCGATGAGGGGGGAAAAAAAAGAACACAAACAAACAAAACTAAAACAACTCATTCACAGGAAAGTTAGGTGAATGCAATTCAGGAAACATATTCTCAACCCCGACACACTTCATTGGACCAGCTCTAGGTAATCTTAGTAGGGATTATAGATCTCCATTCATCTTTCTAATTAGGAAGAAAATAAACTATAAGCAGGAGGCCAGATTGAAGCTATAATGTGATTTAAAAAAAAGAAAATAATTATCTTGGTCAAATTTTCTAGAAAATAAAACCAGAGGCAAAGATCCCTTGTGAAGCCTGTGTTGGAAGGTGCAATCTCAAGGCTTCAAAAGCGAGAGAAAGGGAGAGAAAGTGGGGAAAGAAGGAATGCGGATGCCAGGTGGCATGTCAAGGAACTGGTAATAACCCCACAAGGAAATTTGCGAATTTACTTGCTTGTCCTCCAAGTCACCTTGAGGCAGTTCCTCGGGGTGGGGGAGATGATCCTCAGCTGCCTGGAAGCCATGGGATGGGACCTGCCATCCAGAAGGTACGAGAGCCTCATCAGCTCAGACCCGGCCCCGGAGCAGGCCCTGGCTCCTGTTGCAGCAGGTAAGGTCTCTCCAAAGCTGCACCCTCAGGGCTCTGTCCTTTCAGGAGGAGGCCGAAGCCCGGGGATCAGGTGGGGCTGGGGAATGTCGAGAGGCACAAAATTTAGTCCAGTACGGTCATGTTTTAAAATTGTGAAAAATAATTGTAAAGCTTTTTAGGATTCAAGAATTAGTGCTTTTGTGAAGGTTGAGACGAAGGACTTTCAGAGAAATGAGTCACCCAGTCATAATGAGTATGGGGGTAGAAATTCTATTATTAATGGGATTTATGATTGAAGAAAGATTGTTTATGGTTCTTCAGATGGGTTTCTGGACTGAGTTTACTCACTCTTACTCAGATGATTTTTATTACTAAGGATCATTTTTAAAAGAATGTTTGTTAATTTTAAAAACGCTCCAACCACAACGCTCTGTTTCCAAATGGTCTATAATTTGTGCTAAGAAGTATTTTTCAACTTCTACACACCAAGGAGAAAGGTGACAAGCTCTTATCCCTCTGCACATTTGTGTGCACACAACCGGGTCCTGTAGTACGGTGCTAGGGTCGGGAGGGCAGATGGCAGCGATGGAAACAGGGAAACAGCAATGGAAGAGAGTCTATCTGTGAAGTGAGTTTCATAAATCTAAAGATAAAATACCAAACCACTTATCCTAGCAGATACATCCAGGTGACCCTTGGAAATTTTAAGTAGAAGTAACAGGAGGGCCTACATGAAGTTCTGAAAAAAGTTGATCAAATTGTGTATTCTCTTGAATTCTTGGGTTTCTAGAACCTTAGTTCAGCTATCCAAGTGGAACCGCCCCAGTTGGTGTCATCTCCATACTTACAGCAAGAGGTACCTTCAAGAGCAACACATGGGCACTTGTCTCCGAGGTCAAAATATCTTCATGTCCTTTTCATGCGACACCCCCCCCCAGAGCCCCACCAAGAACAATCTGGGTTTCCCTGCCTCTATGCATAGTTTACCTGAATCTGCATCTCCCCGCAGCTTCCCTATAGGCGTTTGCCAATCCCTTATGAGGTCAGGAGCTTGCCCTGTGACATGGAGAGAATATTTATGTAGTTACATCACATCCTGCGGGGCAAAGGAGACAGCGTGAGAAAGTCTGTTGCCACTAAGTGTCTGTAGTTTGTCCCTTGCGAAGGTTTCATGTCAAAACCTGGACGAGAGGCTAGATGGTCGGGGCCTGAGTTTTCCACTCTCTCCCTGGAGCTCGGATGTCTGAGAGGGATCCGTGTGGCTGTGGGTTTGCATGTTAGCACCTGAAAGAGGGCGCAGCCCCCACCCTGGAATGAATGTACTCTTCCAAAAGGATTCATTTCCAGAGGGTGGTGGAAGGAACAACAGACACAGCCCTGTGCCCACACACACCGCCATCTGCCGTTCCAACCACATGTCTCTGCCCCCCGTTTCCTGCAAGTGATTCATCTATTCTTTTTCTCCTTCTTCAAAGATAACTGTGTAGGCATTTAAGGAGGGGGTTGGGGGGGAAAGTCATTAAGAAAAGTGGAATCCGGAGTTCTGGGGGTGAGGTAGAGCCGATTAAATAGTCTGGAATTTCACAAAGCAAGCTGGGCGGGTGCGGACTCTGGGCCTCCTCTCTCCCACTGGTGCATCATTTCGCAACAGCTTATCAGCACCCATCAGCGGCAACGGCTGCAAACTGGGAGCAAACTGGGAGCAAACTGGGAGCCCGGAGCTGCCAAGGAGCAGAGAAGAAGGGCAGAAGTCAGGAAGAGGATTTGGGATTTCCCGGGGCGCTGCTCCTCTTACCTGCTGGCGTCCTCGGCTTCGGTCTCTAATTTTCTCTAATTTCACACTAATGATTTAGATCTCTGTGACTTTTAAGTTTTCATTTAAATTCCAGGTGGTGGGGACGCCTGGGTGGCTCAGGGATTGGGCATCTGCCTTGGCTCAGGGCCTGATCCCGGGGTCCTGGGATCGAGTCCCTGCATGGAGCCTGCTTGTCCCTCTGCCTCTCTCTGTCTGTGTCTCTCATGAATAAATAAATAAAATCTTTAAAAATAAATAAATAAACTCCAGGTGGTGAACATACAGTGTGATATTAGTTTCAGGGGTACAAGATCGTGATGCAGAGCCTGGTGGTCCCCACAACAAGTGCAGCCCTGGGAAAACTGCAGACCCTTGGTGCATCTGCGTGCATCCTCGGGCAGGGGCCGGGAGAATCTTCTGGGTGTCCGCCCAGCACATGTGCTGCGGCCCCGAGCGCCGTGGGTGTTTTAGATCGGTAGATTCGAAAGCTGCCTCCACGTGAGGCTTTGAAGGAGACCCTGGGCACCAGCCAGAGAAGGTGGTGATGGCCCGGGTGCTAGACCCCAAAGGGTGCTGGTGGCGATGGGCAGGTGGGGAGAGGACGAGCGCATCCCAAAGGGGTGATCCATGGGTAGCTGCTGAGTTGGCCTCAAGCTGGAGGCTCGGACTTGGCTCTGCTTCCAGCCTCCAGGACAGGCGGAGAGGTGCTGAGCCTGTGGCAATCTCAGGGGCTCGCAGGTACCTTGAGGGATGCAGCCGCCGACCTCGGGGGGCAGGGGAGAGACTGAGAGGCCGAGGCATTCAAGGTGCTCCGCGTGGCCCTCGCCCCAAGGTGGAGGGTAGTTATCCCAGGACCAGGAAACCTCCCTATCACTTCACTTCAATTTCTGCCACGACCCACACCTGAGAGTTAGCAAGGAAAAGCACTCCTAGGGGAAGTAGGGAGCTGGGGCCAATTCCGGGGAGGCTTCACCCATCAGGAAAGGCAGGGTAGGCATCCCGTGGGACCTGCCAGGAGGACTGCATGGGACATCATCTCCTTGTTAGTGGAAGACCCAGGGTGGGGGGAGAGCAGAGGGACAAACAGAGCCTGATCACACCTTCCTCCCAACCCCCAGTGGCCTCGACCTCCCCCGAGGCAAGTGGAAGGCCCGAGGAATGAGGAATTCCACTGCTTAATAGAATAAACAGATCCCAGATCAGATCGAGCTCTTAAAATGTTAGCCTAATGCCTCCATTTTCTTATCTGTATAATGGGTATTATAATAGCCCTTACATCTTGGGTTGCTGCGAAGACGAAATAAGATAATCCCCCCGGGGGATGGAGGACAGAAGGCCCGGACAGTCAGCAAGCAGGACACAAACGTTAGCTACTGTTAACGTTCCGCATTTAATTATTTTTGTCAGCATATGGAATTGTCAAGCATCACTTCATTCATTACTTTAATTATCAATTGATTCGTTTGAATTTAACACACACTTGCTCACTTAGTCACTCTACTTATTTATCATCAGATATTTATTGAGATCTTGCACTGGGATGGGCCCATGCTGGGCTCCAGAGGTGCCAAGACTCATTTGGCGAGAAATCTGAAGGCTGATGGGGAGAGAGATGGGTGAAGGACAGCAGGGCAGGACAAAGTGTACTAAGTGTAATAACCGAGAGCTGTGTAAAGTGCTCCTGGAACCCACCGGGGCCTGGGAGGGCTTCACACAGAAGATGCTCTTTGAACTGCATCCCGAAAGATGAGCAGCCTGAGGAGTCTGGGCTGTGAATTTCAGATAACAAAAACAACTTGCAGAAAGGGTCCACACTTCCAGTTAGAAAAGAAGTCCTGGGGACATCACGTATAGCATGATGAGCACGGGTAATAATACTCTTTTGCATAATTGAAAGTTGCTGAGAAAGTAGATATTGAAAGTTAAAAAAAAGAAAGAATAAAGAAAGAAAGAAAGAAAGAAAGAAAGAAAGAAAAAGAAGAAGAAGAAAGAAAGAAGAAAGAAAGAAAAAAAAGAAAGAAAGAAAGAAAGAAAGAAAGAAAGAAAGAAAGAAAGAAAGAAAGAAAGAAAAAGAAAGAAAGAAAAGCAAAGAATGAAGTTGTGGAAACAAAAGGGCTGGGGGCCACGAGGACTTTGGTGTGGGCGGTGTCCCGCCATCCACCGGGCACCCCGCCCTGGAATCAGGCTCGACCTTTGGCTGGGGTAGAGAGCCCCACCTGTCGCCAGGCCCCAGCCCAGGTGCTGAGCCCACGTCTCCCCTTGGGCCGAGGAAATACAAGCAGTTCACCTAGCTCATTGTCTGTCTGGTCAGCCAGGCTTTGGAGTGTCTTCTGAGCTCCTGCTTCGTTGACCCCAGAGAGGTGTCCACTTTATTCCTGCCACAGGCTCTACCTAGTAATTCCAGTCCTCATTCCTAAAACTGGAATCCTGCCTTTTTGGCCCTCCCCAGAGCTTGGGGGCTCTTCCCAAACCCTGTCCTTGGCCCTGGGGCTCCCTCTGGGTTGCTTGGTCCATCGATGGTTATTGGCCGCCAGATTCCTCCTCTTTGCCCTCCTTGGGGTGGCCTCCCAATGGCCTCCACATGGCTGACTTGCCTCTTTCCTGCCTCAACAAAAACTCCCGTCTACAACTGTTCCAACCGCCTGGCAACACTGCCCTCAGAACCTTCACATCAGCGAAAGTGGTTTGGCTCACCACTGATGGAACTCCCAATTCGGTGACTATGGCCAATGGAAAGTTCATGACCTTGGTATTAGTACCACCAAGTAAAAGTACCACCAAACCCAGGCTCTTGGAGATACAGGTATGCCATGAACTTTTGTAAATTCCCTATAAAAATCTGGCCTTGCACAAGATTTCCAATATCAACTATCAGAATTTGTGCTACCAATGAGCCTTGGTTTTGTGGGCCAGGCCTGCCTGCACGGATGAGCATCCTGTGGCGTGGATTAGTTTCCTTGACATTGCTCAGGGGATTAGGACACCAGTCATAATGCTACCAGCCACAACTTTTAAAAAACAAACTTGGGAATAAAAGTCACAAGAGGAAATGAGGACCATTTGGAAATTTGAGAACCCACACGTCCTCTGGGGTTTTTTTTGTTTTCTTCTTCTTTTTTGTTTTTTTTTTTTTCCAGGAAAAAATTCAAAGTTTCAACCTGTTCTAATGCTAGCCCATCTGGCTGCTTTATTAGTGACAACAGCAGCATCTTCTAAGGCTCTCGTCTGAGGCAGTACTTTCCAAAAAAATTACAGAAAGAACTTTCGGATTTGATGTACCATATTTTGTATTTTTTTTCTT